ATATTGCTCTTTTCTAATAGAAACTCACCAAGCTGAAGCCCAATGCGACCTGCTATAACAACTGTTAGTCTCATGGCGGGATCCAAAACTTACTTCAGATTTTGTATTGACAAAGAATACCTCTCTTGATCATTTGACAGGGTTGTATACCACGTCAAGATTTCTTTTTTCCTTCTAATTCTTCCTTCTTCTTAAGAAGCATGAGACAAAAAGAAGAAATTTTCAAACAAACAGTAACGGAAACGACCAAAAAAAAAAACAAAAAAGAAAAAAGAAATACTGATTGCAAAAAAGAAAAAACATAAAAAGAAATCTAAAACCCTGAAGGCACTATTATAGCCCGTGCGTGGCTAATAAAAATTATATAACAAATGCAATATTTGTATATCTCTACTGTAAAGCTATGCCTTAATGTTAAAATTACTTTTCAACCTTCCCACCAATTCCGGATAGCTTTGTTGCCCATCCTAATTCGTATCTCGAGCTAGGTGCTGCCGTCATTTAAAGACCTGTGTCTCAAGCCACCTGCTGCCATAATTAGAGTTCCCAGGCTAAGTCCCATGAAAAAGTGCCATATTTGTCCGTAAACAAACACATGGTTGCATTCCGCTAGTCTGTCCAAATTTGGGAAATAAACAATGTCGATCTTTTGAAGAGGTAAACCAAATCCCCACTTTTTGTTAAAATTTTTGAAAGACCGACAGAAGGATGAAAGAGAGTAAAAAGGTACCACTTAACCAAGTAAAAGGAGTGCGGCTTGAAGAAACTAACAGAATATTTTGTTGTTCCCCAGTGTCTTCAAAGAAGTATGACCTAAAAGCTTCATCGACAAAGAAAGAGGGATGTCTTCTTCTTCACCAAGATTTTTTATACAAGGGCACCTCCTGCCAGTTATCTTGTATAATAACACTTTTGGCTTGTATGCTGAATATCACCAATAGAGGAGTCCCACAGCACCATTGACCTCTAGACAAACTACTATGTTAGGCCACGACTCTCCAACAAAATTTGTGTTTTTTTTCTGTAAAAATTTTGGGCCGAGTGATCGTTAGAAAGAGTTCATAAATTTCATGCTGAAATTTTTTTTTTTTTTTTTTTTTTTATATCAATATTTAACTATATATATTATAAATTAACAAATTTATACATACTATTACATAATGTTTTTTTGCTCATTTTTATTTTAATGGATAGGATTTACTCGTCTATATTTAGTACAAAGTACTAAATTATGACACATTTTAAGCCTAATTATCTGCTAATTTTAATTATTAATTATAATTTTTAGATATAGAGCATTATGTCTAAAAAGTTTGATAACTTTTAAGTTTGATTTTTGATTTTATATGATTTTTTTTCTAAAAAGTTCTTTTTTTAGAAAAATTTTTTGTGCAAACCTATATTTTAAAAATTACTAGTAATTTTATAATAAAATAGCAATGTAAATATACTAAACTTAGTATAGACATTGTTATACAAAAATTGAGTTTATTAAAAAATTTTTTTCTTAATAATTTTATTATTATTAATATAAAAAAATTTTGCCAACCAATTTTTAAAGATTTATCGGATTTTTGTATATAAAAAAAATTAAGTTTTTTAATTTTTTAGCTTTTTTATGCATTTTGCAAACTGTACTAAAGTTAGTACAAAACAGTAAATCCAAATCATTAAATTTATAAATAACATGTGTCAATTATAAAACAACATAAATTAAAAAATAATGAGAATATAAACATGGTATTTTATACATTTTTACTATTTAAGCTTTATTTATCTAATTATTTTTATAATTTATTCTATACTATTTTAAAGTTTGATTTTAACTAATTTTAACCCACAGTAATATTACCTATATTTATTATATTAGGCAATAATCTACATAATCTACATCTTATCGATTCTCTATTGCTATTTAATACTTACATATTACAGTGCACATATTTAACTATTATACAGTAACAATAGACATTTTTCCAATATACTTAATAATTTAGACATTTGGACACTGTGGAGCATAGTGACCGGTTTGCTTGCACTTTCTACACTTTCGTACTGCCTTTTCTAAAGTTAAGGCATTGGCATCTTGATTGTCGTCTTGATTGCTACGTTCTGCTTCTACATTTTGGTTATTATCTTGTCTATCAGGCCTTTTTTCTATACTGTTTTGGTTATTATATTGTATTTCTATACCACTTTTGCTATTACTATTCACTTCTCCACTGTGATCATATCACGTCCCTATGCAATTTTGATCATAATGCAACATTTTATTTTGTGTTTTTTCATTGCTTCAAACATTAATTTACTTATAAATTTACCTTGTACTTTCTTTTTCACAGGCTCTTCTCCGGATTTATACCTGTTTGGTTGTCTACCTTTATGTGTTATACGTAGCGGATCACCAATAAGTATAGAGTCATGAATTTGCTTGTTGAATAATTTTTTTTTTGTTTTTTCAACGAATCTCTCCATATAACTAACAAATTCAACCACTTTATCAGCCTTAATTGCCAAGTCAAGAGCTTTTTTTGCATACTCTATACCGAAACCATATTGTTGTTTAGATCTTTGTAGTCGTTCAGTATTAGGTATCTTTCTAAACCTTACTAATTGTTGAAAAGAAAGTGGTTCGGGCAAAAGTGATGTAGATTTATTTCTTGCAATTTGGTATGTTGGCATTTCTTGTTGATCAAAGTACTTGCTTCTTTTGTACCAATGCTGAGGAATTAATAAGATATTAAACAATGCATTAACAGAGTAAGACATAACTCGAAAGAAATGTCGATACACTATTCTCTTGTTAATAAGTGAAAGACAAGTATATAGATGTAACCTATTGTTAAGAAGAATTACATGTTGTGGTTCTGATTTTTGGCTGCAATGCCTAATTACTTTCTACACTTCCTTGACTAAATTATGAGAAATATCTTCTAACAATGTTGAAAATAAGGATTGTAGTTGGTTGTAATCATCTTCTCTGGCTATTTCCTGTTGATAGGAATCGTCCGTAACCTAAGCCAAAGGAAATAAGATTTTATTGTTATTGTTGTTTTATTTATTTTTTTCTTTTAACTAACTTACAATCAAAACTTACTTCTAAGAGCGATTGCTAGTCAACAATTAAAAATACATCATAATACAAAGATTGGGCCATTTGATCACGGTGTTTTTGAAGAATTTGCGGTGTAAGAAATTCCTGCAAAGTATTGTCAAATTCAGGAAAATATTCATCTATTATGCTTGGTATCCCTCTTGTTGGGATTTTATTTTTATATTCTTTTAGGGTAGCTTTTTTTGATTGTTCATCAAATAACCATTGAACTTCATTAACAACATCAGTTAGGCATAAGGCTCTATTTAATCTATCCTTGATTAATTTGTAGCACACTTCCACTCATTGAGTGCTTTGAGCTTCAGCAATAAAGTTTCGGTTAATAGAATAGCTAGCCCAACTACTCTTACATGAATATAGAACTCTTTCAAGGTAGTTTTTACAAGATAGGTATTTATTGATTAATGCATTCCATTCAACTTCAAACTTTCTAGAATATAAAGAATTTCACATTGCTAAAAATTTAGAGTAAAACATTTTAAACTGATCTTTTAATTTTCCTTGAATTTTCTTTCTTAAATTTAGATCTATATAGAAGATGCAATGAAAGTGATATATTTTTGAATAATTCTTTCATACTGCTGATAACATGGCGGAATCAGCATTAGAATAGAGAACTATTGGTGTGATGTCACAAGAATTTATTAATTCTTGAAGGACCCACACAAATGTTGCTTCAGTTTCGTCTTCAAGAATTGCTGCAGCTACAATAAGATTCTGAAAATTGTTATTGATCACTATAATTAGCATTAAGATCATATCAAATTGGTTTGTCTTGGATGTTGTATCAATGATAACAATATCATTATACATTCCATATACATTGACTTGGTCGGGAGATATCTAGAATAATGAATTTAACCTTCTTTCTTATGGGTCAAAATGGGGTTTTACTATCCATTTTGGATCATTGTCTTTTTTTGAATACAACTTGGTAAGCATTTGGCATGCATCATTTTTGGTTGGTTTTATTTGTTTTTTAAATTTTTGTATTGCATTACTTAAGTTTTTTTTATTGATTACTTTATGTGGAAATGAGGCAACCAATAAATTATATTGGGTTGTTATACCCATTTTACCATGAATCGTCCAGAACTTTATCTTTTCAAGCATCTCATCAGTTAGTTTGCGAAATCTAGGTGCTACTTCATCAATACGAGGATTCATTTCATGGTTATATTTCCTGATTATACTATTAACCCTAACACTATTAGCCATTTTAGGAAAAGCGAGATTAATGTGCCATGAACATCCTATTATTTTTGAATCTCTCTCGTCTATCCTCTGCTAAAACAACCTTTTGAGACTCATGTATGTAAGAATATGAGCATTCATATGTTCGACATCTTGTAATAGTTTTATCAGTTGAATCTTGTATGCATCTTCTTTTTCACAAACTGAACCCTTCTTGTTTAGCGTAATTATCAAGGTAACTTTCAGCAATTTTCCATGTTCCAAAGTTTGACTCTTCATTTAATACTAACGGTTTTATTTGCTTCTCACATTCACTATCATCTGATTCATCACTGCTTTGTTGACTATCGTCATTATGAATTTCTTGTTGATCATCATTACCATGAATTTCTTGTTGACCATTGTTACTATGAATTTCTTGTTGAGTTTCATCATACTTTTCTGTTTGAGTTTCATTAATTGTATTATTGTTACAAGCACTATATTGAAAGTCATAATACTCAAATAATTCATTGTTAGCATCTACATTATCTAGTTGAATATTATAAGCGTTATATTGAAAGTCAGGCGAGGTATAGTTATAAAGAATTCCTAAGATATGCGAAGATTCAGATGAAACATCATAGTAAGAATGCTCCATTATAAGGGTAATGGTTTTATTAAGTATAAATTCGATAATACAGTTGTAGGAAGCACTAACAGTTTGACTGTTTTTTGTTCTTTCTATCCGTGAGATATTGAAATAGTATTGTTTCTTGGGCCTTGTAACGTGCAGGTATGGATGTATAGATGTATATATGTATGTTTGCGTCTCTTTATACTAAGACTTTTTTTTTTTTTTGTCTTTTATTTATTACGTATATAATATCCGCTCATTTAACTCATACATACTTTTAATTAATATTACATCACTATGTCGTATCACTTCCGTTTACTATAGTTTACTTATACTTTGATATACTTTTAATTAATTAATCGTTTAGTATTTTATTCTATATTATATATGTAACATCCGCTTATTTAACTTATATATACTTTTCAATCTATTACATCTATATTTTCTATATAACATTACATCATATCTACTTTTCTATCTTATTTACTTTTATATTTCGATACACTTATATTCTTATGTATTATTTATATTGTCACTCCACATTATTTATAATCCTATGCAATTTTAATCATGATTTATGTCATATGAGTACTGCCAAGGAAACACCGATTTCAGGTTTTCTGATTTATAACTTAGCAAACTTGGTACTGACCGATAATATACATGATGATACATAATTAATTTAAGCTTTATTACTGATTGAATCCAATTTTGAATTAAATACAAAGGTCATTTTAGCATAAAATTGTTATAGTCCCGTAAATAGCTAGAGTTAGGTATTAGAAGGCATATATTAGAATATATAAGTGTGTATAGTATATAGATTTTTGTTTTTATATTCAGTATTAGAATTAGATGCCGTATAAGTGTAAAATAACATGTAGGGGCGTTATTTTGAATAATGGCCAGAATTAGATTTAATTTAGGCCAAAATTTGAAACTACACCTTTGTGCGTCTTATGTAGTATATAATAAATTTGTATATTTATATTATTGAGGTTATTTCACCCAATAGCAAGTGATTTCACTATAAATAGGTAATTTCACCTAGGTGACATAATCCCAGGGCAAGTTAGCAAAATTCTTAAAGTTTATATCAAATCAATTTTTAGTATATACTGCTTTATTTAACTTCCAATCTGGGTGTGGCAACTTAGTGAAGTGGTCTAGTTGTCATCCCGCCAAGTAGCAGGTTGAGAGTTCGAATCCTACAAATGACGATTTTCGAATTTAATCCTGTGTTACGGTGACTATCGTCCGCATCGGGGAAAAATGCCTGTAACCCGTTGGCGT